CCTGATTTGTTAAGGCACACATGAAGCTTTCCATGAGCAAGAGAAAAAGAGGAGCATCATGGGGTGTGGACAAGAGGCAGAAGGGGATAAGGAGATGGGTTGGTGGGAGGGAAAACTGGGCATCAGAACCTGTGGTGGGAAAGCCTGACCTGGAAAAGGAGGAGGCTGAGAAATAGACTGGATGAAGGAAGAACAGTTAGGTCCTGAGAGCTATAAAGGGCCAGCTGTATGTCCCCATGTGCTCAAGATGTTTTGGGAAGAACCGGGAGTTGGGCAGTAAAGCTGCCTGTGCCTAAAGCACCTGAAGCCCACTGCTCTTGCATGAGCCCTGAGAGATGGAGCACAGCTGGCAGAGCCAGCCCCCGTCCCTGCTGCGAGGGGGACGGGTGGCCTGCACGCCAGGCTTGAAGTGCCAGTGGGCATGGGGGTCTGTAAGGAACATCCTTTTGGTAAAAAAGAGGCATGGCCTGAGTAATGCTTACCTCAAAGAAAAGATTCCTGCGATACGATGGTGTGGGAGGTAGGCAGTATGGCCCAAGGAAGGAAGGTTTCCATGCACGTTGCAGCCTTTGGGTAGCAGAGACTCCTGGCCCTGTGGGCAGGCACATTCTGTCCTTCATCTCCATCCCAGATGGATTTTGGAGATCAAAGGTAAGGTTCTCTGCTGCTGTAACGCTATTGATGTCAGTCAGGTTGTGCTTCAGGGAAGCTGGCTCTCTCCTTTTAATTACAGTAGGTATTAAGCTTGAGTCTTCAAGGTTGAAATTCCTACCTTTGGCCTGCGCAGGATCTATAGATCACTCAAATCTCACTTAAACCCTCAAAGTAGTTCTTTAAGTGTTGTCAAGGTTTAGTGCTGGCTCTCTGCATGGGGAAAATGTCTCCACTGGGTGGTTGCCTGTAGGCTGCATATGCCTGTAGGCTGCATATGGGGTAATCAGCCACCCTAATTGCTCCTGGTGATCTATAATATTAACGTTCTGCTGGTGAAGTCAATAGTTCCCAGTGCTGGGTCATCAGCTGCTTCTCTCTGGGTCACAGTCTGGTGACTCTCCCAGCAATATACTGAACAATGTTTGTGCAGAAAAAGCCTGCAATAAAATGTGCAAGAAACTGCAAAGAACCCCCTGATAAATGAGATCTGTAAGTCATTCTTCGAGGCTGTGCTGGAACCTGGTTATTGCTTAATAGAGTATGTGCAGTGGAGCTTGGTTTATGGGGCAGGAGCTTGCTAAAAGGAGAAGGGCTCCTGGCAGCTCATTTAAGCACAATATTTGGGTGCTCCCCCAAGGCGCAGTTGCCAGTGGAGGTTCCACGTGGGTTGTACTGGTGCTTCCAGCCAGTACTGGTGCTCTGATCAAAAATGTACGTGTTGGATCATCCTTGGCTCTTCCCTCATTAGGGTTTGGCTGTTCCTCCAAGCTGCGCCTGGCTGGACTCATGAGACTGCACTCACCTTCCCCCTCGTTCCCAGTTAATCTTTTTCTGCACAGTGTTTGTCTAAAATATTTCTAGTTATCCTTTTTCTGGCATGAGTTTGAAACTCTGCAGATACCATTTCCCTTCTGCTTGAGCTCTGGGACAGAGAAATCAGGGCTGCTTTCCCAATAGTTGCTGTCTTCTCATCTCTTGCCTCCTCTGTGTGGTTTGGCGACAATTACATTCACTGCCACTGCAGGATCTTTGCAGAAGGCATGGCTCCTGTAAGAGCTGCCTATGCCACCTCCCAGCATGGCCTTTTCCAGGCCTCATCTACCTGTGCTTCCCTTAACTCCTGTCCTGGTTCACAACCAAACTGCGGTGCTGTTGCACTGGGACAGCCGCGTCCCCAGGCTGCTGTAGGAGATACCGCTCCGTCACTGCCCGCAGTCAACAGCTCTGCCCCAGCAGGACCCAGACCCCTCGCTCTCCTTTTCACTCTCGTGTACTGTCTGTTGTAGTTTATTTTAAATGCTGGGATAGTGCTACCTCCAGAGAAGTTAATCCTCATTCAGGCTACAAGGGCCGCATGTCCCACCCTGGCAATAAGCTAATCTCGCTACGTTAGCCTTGCCATTAATGCTGGTGGAGGGCAGTGGATCTGACAGCTGTAGGGCTGGAGGTCAGGTTTGCTGTGGCACACATTTCAGATTTTCAGTGTGATAGTCTTTGATAACACTAAATGGATTGAAGAGCTTCTCTTACTCAGATGCTGTTCCTTTTTTTTTCCTCTCCTTTTTAAACTAAGGCAATGCAGTGTTGTGTTGTAAAAAGGATCTATTTTTCTACTGACCCATTTCAGTAAAAATTCAGAGCATTCTAGAGCATGTGCTGCTTTTGAAGATGGAAAGAAATTCATAGATATTAAGGGCACTATGATCAGCTCATCTCACCTCATGCATAATACAGCCTGGAGAACTCCCACCTGGGACTCTCCTCTTGAGCCCAGCACTCTGCAGCTGGGTGACCGTGGCTTTTTGTGTGACTATCTTGAACCAGCTCAGGGTCTGGCTCAGGGTCTTGTTCAACCACTTCTCCTTCATCAGCAGCATGCAAGACACTTGCTGTGGGAGACAGCAGCCTGGGTTTGGCCCATCATACCACCAGCATGCTGAAGATACTGGCTCTTCAACCTGCTCCTTGCATGGCTGCAGCATCTGTGCTTTTTCAGACCTTGGTTGAGGGAGAACGAGGGCAGTGGGAGTGTGCTGCGCCAGGAGCTGGGAGTGCTACCGACGTCTTTCCTTTTATTCCTTCCCTTTGATGACCTGGGGTTACGTATCTCAGTGGGGGATATGGACCCCAGGGAGCTTTCAGGTCAGCTCCAGGTGCTCAGCAGTGGTTGAAGGAGAAGACATTTGTGCCTTAGCTAAGCCAGTCCTGTCTCCTTCCAAGTTGCTGACAGAAGAGTTACCTCCAGAAGGCAATTAAAGGCACATAAATGAACTTCCTGCCACTAATCACCATCTGAAGGATCTGTCTCCTTTCTTAGATGGACACAACTGCCTTTGCCTTCAGGCACCCTGAGGGGCCCTGTTCCGCAATGGAAGCGATTTATGGCTCCCAGGAGGCTGCACACCCTGCAGAGGAGGGCAGTTTCCTTGTGAACTGACTTAAAAATCATTTTTCCCCGTTTGTTCCACAAATGAAATGAAACAGCTCAGTCTGAGGACTTGTGGAAAGACTTGTTTCCATCAAGTCCATGGAAATGCTGTCATGTTTCATTTCAGGAGAAATTGGTTTGAAACTTTTCCACTGCCAAAAAAAATTCTGAAACTGCAGTTTCCTCTCTTTCTCCCACCTGAAGCTGTCTGGGTTTCCCTGGGTCAGGAGTGATCGATTCAGGTCCACCTTGTCGATGGCCACCACATGTATTTGCATATCTTTTCCCAGCCCTTTCTAAGATATGGGTATCTTAAAGATACTCGAGTAATCTAGGTGCTGTTATTTTCAAAAGTCACCAAGGTTTCTGTGTTGCAGGGATCATGCTTCTCAGTTCTGCAGCATAGTGTTTTCAGACAACATTTTCTAAATTCCTGGCCTTTTGGGTCTTAATGTAACCACTTAAAAGGAAAATACTCCGAGGCACTAGTCTTATTTGCTGGCCATAGTTGTGTCGTCTTGTTGCATGGTCCTAACAGAGTGATCTGATGACAGCCCAACTTCTTGGATACTGCCCATAAGAAATAGGATGTTTTATGTTTAAAGGAGAGCCTTTGATTTGGGAGTTTAGCCTTTGTACAGCTGTGCAGGTCTGATGTCTTGGTCACAGTACGTTAGAGCTGTTCACTTCCTTAATTTTTGGCATTTACTAAAGAGGTTTTATGCCTTTCTTTTATATGAGATTAAATGCTAATAGTGGTTTTGTGAGTGTTTCTAGCTCTGTATCCACATATGCAGTTTGGGACTTGGCTGGCTGCCCCATCCACAGTGGGTGTTAAAGCCACCCATACCAGCCCGGGGAGCTAGCACTGATTTCTACCCATGCTCTTTAAGAAGGATTGGAAATGTATTCAGAGGCTGCCCAAATAATATGACTATACCTGATGTATCTAGAGAAGAGATGAAGATCTGTTTGCATCATGTTAGTATATAAATCCAGCTCCCCTTAAGGTGCTTAGACACACCTGGATAATGACCTGGAACAACCTAGGTAGCAGGAAGTTACACGTACCTGTCACGGCAGCCTCTGAGCATGTGAGATTGCCAGCCAACAGGCAAAAGCAGCCAGTTATGCCACGCTCAGAAGAGTTTCATTCTTTTTTTTCCAGCCACCCAGCTCCACAAAGCAAACCCTGCTGTAAAGACCTTGCCTCCTGCTGGCATCACCTCCTGTCTGAGGAGTTGGTGTTTAAAGTGCCCTCAATATCTGCAGCACAGTTTTTCTGCTGGTGTAGTTAAAAGGCCACAGTGTCCTCTTCAGTGGACTGTACTGAGCCACCCCATGCATGGGGACAGTGTGTGTCAGTGCCGAGGTGATGAGGAGGTGCTGGGGACTTGTGGGTTCTGTTTTTCTGATGAGAGGGGGAGTTGCTTCATCTCTATGCTTATATTTTATACCCCATATTTTTTCCCCTCTCTACTTGTCAGGCTAGGAAATGGTTCCTGCTTGCTGCAACACACAGGGGACAGTTCTCACCTGGGATTTCTAGGCGGTCCTGTTAGGTAACACTGAAAAGCAAGATTCAGTGTGTTTTGTGTGTGCCTGTATACCCATGCACATGTATTTTGGGAGGGAATTGAGGAAACATCCTAGCAGATGTAAACCAGCTCCCATACCAAATGTTCTTAAATACCTGCTTCCCTCTTCCTTTTTGCTTCTCCCTTGTTGCTCTGGCTCAAGGAGGTTTTGATATTTCCAGCTGAAATTTCATGCCTTTTTTTCATTGTGGGGACCAGGGGAGGGGAGCCAAAACTGCAGTGTTAATTGCTTCCCTATAAAAGCCATCCTGGAGCAAGAGCTGAAGGAAAGCACAGGGAAGATTTCCTTTGGTTTAATGATAACTTATCCCTGTCACAGCTCAAATGGTGCTGTTATTCAGTGTATCAAACCCTTCCCCTTCCGCTGTGTTTGCATCATCTTTCTCCTCTTCAACATATTCATCTTCATGCCCTTTTCTGAATGCATTTTCTTTGTGGTCTTGTTCCTCCTTGTTCACATCTTCACCAGCCTGCTCTGGCAGGAGGCCACCTTGCCCATAGCTGTTCACCACTTGCTTGCAGAGGGGACATGTCTTCTTCCTGGGCTGCGTGTAAAACCAGATATCAACACAGGCACTGTGGTAAGCATGGGAACAGGACAGGATCTTCAGGAGGTCTTCTTCCTTATACTCTGCCATGCAGATCACACAGGTCTTGTATTTGTCTCCCTGCTTGTATGTGTGCAGCTTTATCTTGCAAGCCCTCTTGTACCAGCTCAAGCCAACCATAACCAAGATAGGAGCAATAATGATGTAGAATATGTCCCTGAGATCTTGCATGATAAAAGTTTCCTGCAGCATCTTAGCATTGTCTTGACAAGGACTCAAATAGCGTCTGGGTGGCAGAAGTCTGATGTGTGCCACTTTCTCGCATTGCAAATTCCTTTGCAAATGGAGGGACGCTGACTGGCCAGTAAAGAGTGATGGTATCTTGATCAGCTGCTGGATTTCTTTGTCATCAGCCGTCATGGTGATCAGTTGCTCTGAATCCACATTGTACACAATGGCAGTTTGGTACCCAGCCTGTTGGGCATGAAGGACCTTCTTGACAAAAGAGCAGTCATACTCCTGTATAAGCGCAATATACATCTCAGAGGCCTTTCTTGGTGCTGGAGGATTCTCTATTGCATGGCAAGCATTTGATGGTATCACCCTCACCAAATACCCTGTCAGCCCTTCTGCTGGAAGTCGTGGTCCAAAGCATGCAGGCAGGGCTTTATAAGCGACGCACTCGGAGCTGTCGTTGTAAGCTATATAACCAAAGGCGTCTGCAAGAGCAGTGTTGTAGAAGGCAGCAGCAACCATAAAGTGAAGAAGCCAGAGCCGAAGATTCATGCTGAATGCAGTTGGGTAGTGCTGAATGCAGCTGGGTAGCTCTGAATACAGATTTCCAGGCTGGTCCCAAAGGAAAAATGTAACAGACAGTCACAGAGGCACTATCCCACCCAGGTTTTATCACCATGCCATGACTTGGAGGCACAGCGGGATGGAGGTGAAAACCTGTTTCTGCCTGGTAGGTTTGGAGGTTCCCAGGATAGAACTCGTCTCTCTTGTTGTTTCCAGCTGCTAAGCAACACCCTCACATCATCTCTGCAGATCTGTGACATCACCCAGTGACTGTTTCCCAAGGCTGGGTCATGTAACATTATTGCCAACCTGTTTAAACTTCTTCCCTTCCTTTTTGGTCTGCTCCATGCACATAGCTTCTAGTTTCATCTCCCTCTGGGTACCGATAGGATGCCGATTTCATTTTGCTGATGATGTGCAGGCAGGATAAATGAGCCTCCCCATCAGCTACGTGCCTGTTGCAGACTGGAATGCTTCATGCTGGTGGCCAAAGCAATTCCTGGAACATGTGGCAGAGTGAGAACAAGCCATTAGCCTCTATCTGCTGCTGGGGGGTGGGTGTGGCAGCTTGGACTGGTCTTGTGAATGTGCACTTTTTCCTTAAAATCATGATCTTTGCACCGATACCAAGCCAAATAAATTGCTTAGGGTAGAAAGGGTTTCTGTCATTTGAAATATGTCGATCAGTAACTGTCAGTCAAAATGGCAGCTAGCAGAACTTGAAAGTCTCTCTGCCTGTGTGGCCTCACTCTGCCATTACCCAAACTTCTGAGAGGGCTGATCCACCTTCAAGGCTGCTGAGTGAGCAGCCAGATTTGCTGAAGGGGCTGATAGACTTGGGCTCTCACTGGGGGTGAGCATGTTGGGCTCCTGTCCTACCGCAGTGAGTGAGTGGTGGATGAGCTTGGGAGGGCTACCACCAACTGTTGCACTGGGGCTTTTCACCTTATTTGCTTTAAAACCTCAGCTGCTGTAAATCAAATGGCTGAAAAAAGGCTTTAGCTTCTAGCTATAAAAACTGATTTTAAAATTCTGCTTGTGGTGAAAAAGCTGCAAAAAGGAGTGGAAAGCATAAGGCACAGGTGGTGTCCCTCCCTCCCAGAGTGTTTGACAGCAGAAGCTCCCATCTTTCAGGCAATTCCCAACTCATATGATGACTGCTTGGTGCCTGGAGGAATGCCAGCCTGATGGGGATGCAATAGCTCTCCTGGTTATTGGAAGGAATCAGGTCTGAATATGCAGTGAACCCAGGTCAGTTTGGAACCACAAATCCCTAAAAACTTGTAGCTTTTAACAAACAGCCCTTTTTGTTTAATGATTCACTTGAGAGTAGCCCCATGGTTTCCAGTGCAGTTGTGTTGGACCTGTAGTTAAAAAAAATCACTCATGTACTAGGCAACTGATTTGTTACTAGCCCCCTTGGGCTCTGCTTGAGACAGATTTCACTGGGAAAAGAGCTACAGAAAATGTCAGCAGACAGTGTGTGTGTGCCAGAGACTCCCAGCAGCTGTGATTTCAAATCGATTTTATTTTCCCCTCATCTAAAGAGTTTTACACTTTCAGGGAGACATTTTGATGCATTTAAACAAAACAAGGAAAAGGTTTTGGGAGGGTGGAGAAGCCAAATGCTTTCTAGTAGAATGAGAGATGAAGAAAATGGAGGTACACTGGGAGACCTTTCTGAGGGTGCATTTTTGGCTTGGTCTTATGCTTCTTGTGATGACATCCATCGTCCTAGTGTCCTTTAAAATCTTTGCCTCTTTACTTGCACTCAATGCTCTATTTCTGCCTCCAGATCAAAGCTTTATGTACTGCCAGTGACCCGCTGCTTGCAGAAGGGGTAGGTCTGGCTTTGGTGCTGGACAAGGAGCCATAGATCTGTGGGAGCCGTGACAGATGTGTGACCAAGGAACAATCCCCTTTGTATTCTGTGTGCTGTTATCTCCTGGTTGCTGCAGCACCACCCCTTATATCCTAGAATGGGCAAGGCAGGAGTGAGCAGCCATCCTGGCTTGCTCACCAAAACCCTTGGATAAAAGGAGAAATCAGGTGTTTGCAGTCTCCAACCCAGATCTCGGTAACTCTTAGCAGTAACCCAGATAAATGTGGGCAAAAGGACAAATCCTCTTCAAGAGAGGTTGGAGGGCAAGGAAGAGGGGAATGGGGTACAGAGAAGGCTCTGGGGAGTGAGGAAAGAGGAAAAGGTCTGGATGGGGAGGGGAGCAGGATACCCATATCCAACCCACAGGCAGTGTGAGATAGGAAACCCTAGCCCTTAGCCTCCTTTGAAATCCCGGAATGCTTTTGCAGAAGGAAGGAGAGGGCAGAAGGACTTTGGCCAAGAGGATCTTCACTCAAAGAGCCAAAGCGGTGCCCTGTCTGCTCTGGTTCTCTCTGTGCTTTCCATTTGTATCGCTGCTGTCTGCCTCCTCCGCTGTCAGTGCCCTGAAGCCTTTGGCTCCGGCTGGCTGAGGTTAAGCCAAGCGTCCGACCGTGGTGTGGGGCTGTGCCAGGCTGTCCCCAGCCCCAGGCGGCGTTCATTATAGGCAGCACTGTGCTCTCCTTCTCCTCCTGCCCTACACCTGTTATATTCATGTGTTATATACATTGCAGATGCTCCTGGATGTATTCTTGACCCATTTTCTCTGGAGTCCCTGCAATCTACTTTGTCAGAATAATTGCAATTTATTTAAATGTCAACAAGCCACACGTGGGAGACAGCAGTTGTGTGCAAGAACAGAGCAATTACAGAAAACAGGTCCCACTTGAACAAAGATCCAAGCTAGAAGAAAGGAAAAGACCATTCACCTCTATTAACCAATCACTTACCCCACCACTCCCAAAGTCCCTGTGTTCCTTTATACTTCTTCTTTAGGGCTATCACTTAGTGCAGGAGCTGGGGTATAAAAACAGCTCCTCCTTTTGCTGGTATTCCACAGAAGCGTCTGCTCAATCCAGAGGAATTTAATGCTGATTTAGACCCACATAACAGCTAGAAAAACCTAACTCTGGTCCTGCCCAAACAGCTTAAACTGTGTAACAGAGATGCAGAGGAGACTGACTTATGTGGACATCGTTACAACTCCAACAAAACACACATTACAGGCTCCAGATCCAGCATTGATTTAACTTGGGGAGTAAGTCTAGATGGCTTTTTCCCCTCCGAGGTTTTTGCAGCATGAAAAGAGCAGCCTGGCATTGGGATGATGTGAGTTTGTACATAATCAGACTTCTTGTCCTTTATCTGTATTAGGTCAGTGCCTCAGGTCCACAGACAGTGCATTGCACAGACACACAACAGCCTCTCCCTGCCCTCAACAGCCAAAGGCCAGGAGCAGAAAAAGCCAACAGGGGGTTAAATGCTCTTTTTTTAAGACATCTTGGCAGGTATCCCTGGTTCTAGCTCGGTGCCCTTCTTATCAGGGCACGCTGTTCCTTTGGGGTCATGCTGTAGGATTAGTGAGGACCAGGCTCCTGGAGCTGAAATACTAGTGATTTGCTGTGAAGGAAGATCTAGGGCCATCTAGTGACCTTCCAGTGAAAACCTTTATGCTTCCAGTGGTCCCAGTTGTTCTTAAAAGAAAGATATGTGGGACGCACTTACCTCCCTCCTGCTGACTGAGCAAGTCCCCACCTCTGCAGCAAGCTGGCTGGAAGGCAGACCTGCACCCTTTTGCTAATGACTTTTTTTTGCTAGGAGCTGATTTAGAAATTGGTGCATGTAACCACCTCCTTTCATCTAGGATGAAAGGAAAGGATGACCCATGTCTTCGCAGAATAGATAGCTGAAACAGAGCTGCCACCCAGAATGCGAGCTGGGTAGATGAGAAATGGAGTTGTGAGCAGAGAGGTTTTGCGCCTCGCTGTTTGCCACCATGGGAGAGGGGTGGAGAGCAGGTTTGTAGGAGCTCTGCAAGTCCTGCTGCGTGCACTGTCCCCTACATGTGTCTCGGCACTGTGTGCTCCTGTGCTCTACCAGGTGCCTCTCCTGGATTTCCAAGGGGTCCAGGCAATCTCTCCTCTGTTATTACCAAGTACAAGCATGATAATCTGGGCCCTAATGCATACAGAAGATTATAAAGCAGTGATTTATGGACCTGCTACAAAAGTACCCATAATCTGCTAATGCCCACAATTAAAAAAGGTAGTTGAGCAAATCTGGGCTATTGCAACTTAGTACCTGCATCTGGAAATGGATTTCAGTTCCAGCTGTTTGCCTTGCAAGGGAGGGAGACATCTTCTCTATTAGATATCAGTGCTGGAAATAATATCTTGCCTTTTCTAGTTTTGGCAAAATATCCTGCAAACCTTGGACATAAAGCAAAACCTTCTCCATTTAGCAGGATTTTTTTTATTTAACTATCTGCATGCAAAAGAAGAAAATGTAGAGAACCTGTGCTTGTTTCATCACACAGGTTTGTGGTAAAAATTAGCTGGTAACTGTGGTAATTGGCCCCTTTGTTGGAATAAACCTGTCTCTGCATGCTTTTGGGAGGGAGAGCTTAAGAAACAGAGTAAGAGGAGGAACCTCAGGACAAGCCATCCAGGGGCTTGGCAAGAGCAAGCTGCTGCTTCTGCTCTGTGGTTGTGGCCCCTGCAAATCTTTTAGTGTGAAGCAGACCTGTATGTGATCAGCTGCCCAAACAGGGCAGAACCAAGGATATGTCTTCGTATTCCATTTGTCCTTCCAGTCTGTATTCCCTACTCCTACATTTCCTTTTTTTTTTAATCCTGTGCTGCACTCATGCTTCCCTAAAGGCATTGGCTGTAGCTTAAATTTGTAGGAAGAGTAGAAGATGGAGCTGGTGGGGAGTGTGTATGGGGCAGGTCTCGATTTTCCAGAAGGGAGTTTGGATAAGCCTTCCTGGTTACTCCTGCTTGCTGTTGCGTGCACCAAGGGGGATCAACACTACCGCGGTCACGCTGCGCAGGCAGAGCGGGCAGGTCTTGCTCCCGGGCTGAGCACAGTGCCACAGGTCGATGCACTT